ACCTATATAAAATTCCTTGCTGTCTCAGGGAGGGGGGAGGGGAGAGAGAATTTATAATTCTTTTTTTTTTAAAAAGAATGTTAAAAAATGTTTTTATGTGCTATTGGAAAAAATAAAATATCAATGTAAAAAAAATCCTTGACTTTATTTTGGCAACCATTCATCCTGCCAATTCTTTTTTCTTTTGGTCTTTCCCTTCTTCTCAAAAGTAATTCCTTTCAGCCACCGGATTTCAATCCACCAGGGACAGCAAGGTGCTTCCTTTCTCTCTCCTCACACATCATACATAGCAAATCTCTTGGCTGATTTTGTCCTGTCAGTTCCCATTCTCCTGGTCAGAGACAGTCAAAGCACAGTAACACTTGAGCCCCAATCCTGCCTTTTTTTTTTTTCTGTTGTCATCAGTCCATCTACCCTGAGTCAAAGCTCCTCTCCCTTCTGGGTTTGGCTCTTTCTCTTACCGTGCTCTTTTTCACAACCAGGACTGGCTTTCTTCAGCTCCTTTGCACCTCAGCATTCCAAGATCTTCTTGCCATAGGCTGCTGCATCCTTCTGTTCATTCTCTGCTGCCTCGTCTTGCTTTCATCTTCTGTATTTTTAAGGTAGGCTGTTTGCTGAACTTGTTCTCCATTCACACTTGTCTCTTCAGATGATGACCATTTTTCTTCCTCATCATAATTGTGTCCCTCCGTGTCTTCAGCATCTTTTTCCTGAGCATCTCTCATCCTTCCTGACCTGTTTTTCTGCAGTTTAGTCCACTGTGTCCTGCCCATCTTTCCTCTGAGTCCTTTGAAACTGTGTCCTCAGCATCCTCCCAGAGGACTGAGTCCAAATTTCCTGTCCTCTGTCATGCACACACTAAGACTACAAGGTGCTGAGTTTCTTTGAGAAAGGGAAGTTCCTCCCCTGGGGCTCCCTGTACCAAAACCCATCAATGGGCCATTCCCTACCCAGGCTCTCTGATCCTAAAAGAGAGGAGGGAGTGGTCATTTCTTCCCAAGGTTCCCATCATTTCTGCTCTTTCTAGTTGCTGAGAATTGGATTCAGGGCATCATTTAGCTTTATTGGTCACTCCACATTTTAACATATGAAATTATGACCATAAGTTATTATACTCTTGGCAGAAAGAGTGCTCTAGCCAATTCTAGGGAGCTGAAATTTCCCAAAGAATAGAGACGGACAGACAGAGACAGAGAGACAGACAGACACACACACACACACACACAGATACAGAGAAAGACAGAGAGAGAGAGAGACAGAGAGAGAAAAGAAAAAGAGAAGTGAAGGAGGAGAGGTAGAGGAGGGTGATGAGGAGGAAGTAAGGAAAGAAGGAAGGGATAAAGGAAGGAAGGAAGGGAGGAAGGGAGAAAGGAAGGAAGGAAGGAAGGAAGGAAGGAAGGAAGGAAGGAAGGAAGAGAAAAGAAAGAAAAGATAACATAGTTTCATTGAAATGCTCTTCTATACATTGCCTGGCAGGGATTAGCCCACAAGCCCTGGCAGTCAGTGGAAGAACTAGGCCAGCAGGCAGTGCAGGGAGCTCCCAGGTGGCCTCCATCTCCTTCAGGGGAGACCGTGTGGGAGCCATAAGCAGAAGGGAAGGCCTTTCTCCCAGGACCCAGGGACTCTGAAGAGCTGCTCTGCTCCTGGCCTCTTCCTTCTCCCCAGTTCTAAATGAACTCATATTAGCCATTGGGAGCTGCCTGATCCTCTGCAAGGAGTGTTTTGTTGAATAAGCTGTAAAAGGGAGTCATTGGTGAACTTTTAAAATGTTCCTACTTCTCTTCCTTCTACATTGCATCTGTGCTCAGCGTTGTTTCTACATGTTTTGTAATAAATTTCATTAGTTAAAAATAGAAGTCTTAATCACGCCCTTTGGAACACAACGTAAATGGAATTGCACCTGGAGTTTTCCTTTTCGGCATTTCATGTGAGTGTGAGAGAGGTGGGCTGGTCTCCTGGAAGGACTGATGGCAGAACAAGACGTCCTTCTGGTCAGAGCCAACATCTTCCTTTAATTTAGCACGTTTAAAAATGGCCAAGGGTGTCCATGTGGCAATCCTGATGAGTAAGGAGTCCCTGGAAAGGGATCGTGGGGTTGCGTTGGCTGTCACTCAGGCAGGCCCTGCCATGATTAGCAGTCACCTGCATGAGTAAGCGGAGCCCAGGAGCCCAGAGGCCCATTGACCAACAGCGTGACCGGAGTAGGCTGCTTTTCCCTTGCTGGGCCTCAGTTTTCCTTTTTTTAGGTCTTCCTTTACTATTTGAAATGAGGGGATATTTGAAGAAGCCTTTGGCTTCCTCCTTTATTTGCAGAGGTAGGGACTGAGTATGGAAACACCTTGTAGACTGTCAGGATTCATTGATGCACTGTTGGATTTGAGAAACTCCTTTTTTTCTCCCTGTGTGTATGCGTGTGTGTATGTGTGTGTGTGTGTGTTTGTGTGTATGTGTGTGTGTGTGTGTTTAAAGTTTTTTTTTTTTCCCTAATCAGATACGACCCACTGGGGAGAGTGAAAATATATTTTAATTTATGATGCAAACATAGCCATACATATATGTACACATATACATGTGCACACCCACACACGTATATGTAAATATACATAGACTATGCACATGCTTGTTTGTACACACATATGTAGGCACGGATGTGTGTGTATTCTGCATGGCCCCAAAGTTCCCAAAAGCAATGGAGAAAAGATACAAAGAGTCCAATTGGGTCTGAGTATGAGGCAGATTTTTAGGGTGGGGGTGGGGGTGGAATTCTAACAAATAGAGCCGGTCAGCAGTGCAATAGGGCAGCTAATAGAGCGCCAGGTCTACTACCCCTACCCCTGTCCATTGGAGACTTTTAAGAAAAGGTTGGGTGGCAATTCATTAGCTGCATGGTAGGAGCAGGACAGGATGGTGGGGTTCATAGAGTATGAGGCTTGGACTTAGGATGATCTGGTTTCAATTCCTTCTCCTGACCCATATGAGCTCATGCCCCGGGACAAGCCCTTTACCTTTTCTGAAACTCCATTGTCTCATATAGACAAAGAGGGCGTTGGACAGAAGGTGGTGATGCCTTGATTGTCTATAAAGCATTGGCTAGAACTTGTGGTCCCCTCTGGCTCTGGAATTCATTGATTCTGTAGTTTGTGTTTCAAACCGTCACTTCTACATGAATCCATTCAATGGCTCAGCATTCCAATGCCATGTTGGCCATCCTGAAGTGGCAAAGCGCTGACCCAGTCTGCAGGCCTTGGTTACATGGTCCCGCCATTCTGAGATTTGTCATTATCAGCTTGTAAATAACCTTCAGTAAAAGACTGAACCGGGGAAACTCTGTTTGACTGGTGACTACATTCATAACCTCTTCTCCTTGTTGCACTATTTCTAGAATTCCTAGAATTCACTAGAAATAAACTTTACAGCATGAAAGTCTTCTTATTATCACATGGTCATAGGTTCAGCTCCTTCTTTTGAATCAATTCAGTCTAATGATAAATTAAAAATAGCTCTTTGTCTTGCCCTTTTAGTGGTTATCATAGCTGAATAATGGAATGTGCAATTTATTTTTAATAGTTTGTTTAAAAATAGACATCTTCATTTTTAGAGTAGATGGCATTAAAAATAAAGCAGGAGGGGAAGTTCATAGCTGATGACATCATGTATTCAGGCCATTGCGATGGGATGTCAATGCAATGGAGCTTCCCTGCAGGCCCTTAGGCCCAGGGACCAACGCCTTCTCCTTTCTTGACAGTACCTCACCACACTCAGCCCAAGCTGCTGACTGACTCAGCCTGCCTCAGTCTCTTCTGAGAATATTCGAACATCTGTATCATCAACAGCAACGGCATTGTCTGTGCCTCTTCTGCTCGTTTATAGCCCTTAGGGACGAATGACTTTATATACAGGGGTTCTGTGTTTCCATATGAATCCATTGAGGCGTGGCCTTCTCTGGGGAGGAGAGGCCTTACAGCTAGTCGTTGGTAAGGTCTTTTTTAGGTCTCTCTTGAGAGTTAATATTGTCCGTGGCAGATCCCATTACTTTCACAACTTTCTCCTGTCCCTTAAATCATGCAACATAACAGAGTCCACAGAGAGCAGCCACCTGTGAACCCCTGGCTTTGTTCTTTCTATCAAGACAGCCTTGATCTTCACTGGACAATGATCTTCATTCAGTAGACAGGGAAACAGTATTCTCCTTGAAGTGCATTTAGGGGAAATGAGTCCATGAGCGAAAACTTAGTGTTGACTTCGGAGCTTTCAGTTTCAAACCAAGGAGCAGTAAAGGGGAAATCCTGGGTCCCCCCCCCATCAACTTGTTAGTCCTTGTCAGATGTGGCTGACCCGGGGGGATCATAGGTTACCGTCACTCCTGGGCCCTGATGCTATAATTGCCCAATGCTTTCAGTAAATTAACCCAAAAGCAGTCGTTAAGCAGCTACTCTCTCACAGGCCCTGCGCTAAGTGTTGGGAATACAAGAACAAAAGAAGAATAATCCCGTACCATGTCATACCTTGACCCCAATGTAGAGGCGTCATTTTGGGCCTCTTTGAACATGAAGGACAATGGCCAGTTACTAAGGAGTGAATCTGGACAGATTGGGTAGTGAGGAGAGTGAAGTCAGAGGTGCTGTTGTGGTCTGAGAAAGTGTTAAGGGTGGAGGAAACGGAGCTCATGACGAGGATGAAGAATAGGCCTGGGAGGAATGAGGCAGAGGGAGTTATGGGAGATTGTGGACAGGCAGCAGAACGTCCAGATTCTTGGTGAGGGAAGTGTTGATGCCCTTGAGATTATGGCCACTTCTGTGTGGAGCTGATGAAGAATTATCTGACTTAGCTAACCAACTACTGGAGAATTGTGTGTTTGCTTTAAAACAAAAATACAGTCTTCAAAGAAGCTGGCCATTTTATAGGGCTATTGTAATAGATTGCTCCCTTCACCCATTGTAACCAGTGATTTCCCTCCCGAATCCGAGCAAATAAGCTGTGCATTTCTTGTGTCTTTAAAGACTCGAAAGTCCTCAGAACATTGAGCTAGAGAAGATTGAAAAGGAAGATCAAGCCCAGAACACTCCTCCACCTCTTCCTCCACATCAGATCCTCCTTCCATTAGAAGAGCGAGCTACCCACTTCCGAGACATGCTTCTGGAAAGAGGGGTAAGTGAATTCTGCCTCAGTGGAATGTGAATAAGTGCTATGTCGTATCTCTCTTCAGGAAGTCACTAATGGAATACTTCCTCTTGAATTCCTAGAATTGGTTTTCCCTTTTCAGCAAATATGTATTAGCTACTTTAGAGAAGTAACATTAAAGAGTAGGCAGAGTGCTGCACCACAGTCCAGAGAGACCTGGGTTCAAATCCTGCCTCGGACACTGAGTAGCTACGTGGCACAAGATATGTTCATCCACTGTTCTTTGGTTGCCTTCAGTTATTTAAATAGTCAACTTGCGGAGAAGGGGTTAGCCTTGTTCTCCTGGCCCCTGGGAATAAGAACTTGGAGCAACGAGCTAAAGTTCCAAAGAGATCGATTTAAGCTTTAGGTCAGGAAAAACTCCCATGAGTCAGAGTGGAATGGGCTGCCTGATGGGTACATGTCCCCATGCCCCACCCCCACTGGAGACCTTGAAGCCAAGACCAGATATCTATTTGTCAGATTTAGCTTGGCCTACATGATCTCCGGGGTCCCTTTTACCCTTAAACTGTACTTTTGTAATACTTACTTGAGCCTCAACTTTCACATCTTCAAAATGGTGATGATAGTTACAAGATTATGGACAGGATTACCCTGCTTGGTCCTGGATATACAATGATGAAAAACAAAGCGTACCTTTCTGTCAATGAGTTTGTGTTGTGCATGAGAGAAATGTTGCAGACACACACATATGAATGACACAATGAAGCAAGTGCAGGAGGATCAGAGTGGGTGCAACGAGAAATCTAACGAGGAGGAGAACACCCTGGGCCATGCAGGTGAGGATGATCGCCCTCATGGAGAGGAGGGGGATACCTGAAATTTCTAGAATTTCAGCGGGATGGGAGAGGCTCAATACTTTGATATGGATTGGGGAAACTGGCCATGCAAACGGAATGGGGTGATTGAGTCCCAAACAGCCATCAAATCGTGTGTTTATCCTGCTTAGTTTGCCCACTTCTAGCTTGTAAACTGTATGCTGCTGTGGCAGTGTGGGCAAGAACACAAATTTCGTCAGTTAGGAAGTAGGCTACCAAGAAAGGAGTGGCCCCATATTCCCATGGGAAATAATAAAACCTCCCGTTTCGAGGACAGGTTCATTCTAAGGGGCGCTCCTGAATCTGCAGAGAGGACACGTGGGTTCTGGGAGGCAGAGTGCAAAGGGGCCAGCACAGTAGTGTGTTGTGCCCACGTTCTGTTGTGACTAGCTTTGTGACCCAGACCAAGCCTCCTTTCCGGGATGCAGTTTCCCCACCTTTAAAATCAAGGGGATGGACAAGATAATTCCTGAGGAGCTTTCTAATTCTAGCAGTCCACAAAATCTGGAAGGACCTGCATGCATGTGTATATGCACACATATGTATATATGCATATATGTGTGTATGCATATATGTGTGTATATATATGCACATACATAAACATTCATCTCTTCAGGTTTGTAAGTGTGCAGAGAGATGTGTAAATGCATTTTATGGGATGCCAAAGGGCCTCTAAATTTTTCTGGCCAGAATTCCTGGAGAGGATGAGCATGTGTTAAGAACCAGAAGGTCAATTTAGATGTGCCATACTCCAAGAGTATTTCCTGATCATTTTTTTCACCCTAGTGCCCTGAACCTGAGCACAGGACTTCCTTCACACTAAGTCTCTTTCAAGTAGATGCTGAATTGGATTTTATCTTTTATTTTCCTAGAAATTTGTAGAGATGAAGAAACTGATTTAAACAAAATGAAGTGGTGTTTTGTGCTTTGACAAATTTAGAGCTATGTTTTCAGTTTAGAGAGGGAAGACAAAAGCCACCTTTTCCTCAAATGTTTTTCCAGTGCCTCTGATTTCCTAAGTTGCCTTTTGAGCACAAAAGCAGCCCAGACACTCTTTCTGCCCAGCTGGATTTCTTCACCAAAATGAAAAGGGACACAGAAGGTGATCATGGAAACGTGCATGCAGTGTGAATTATAATGAACGCTTTAAATAGCTCAGAGAAATATAACAACCAATGCCCTCTGGCTTACGGACCACAGCACCACAGACTCTCCGCATTGCCTCCCTCTTGAGACTGGAAAAGATGGGGAATCGAGGAGAGAAGAGCATAGTTGAGGGCAGCAAGGTCACTGCTGCTTGGTGGGTCTGCATTCACCTGGACGAACAATAGAAATCCAGGGCTATGCAGAAGACAAAGGTGGGAGGGGACTCCTCTCAAGGCACTCTGAATAAAAGATCTGCAGGGATATTTCTTGCCACAAAACTGATTGTAATGACTAGGTTTGTGCATTTGTGTGTGTATGATGCATGTGTATATCATTTTGTCCCATTGGTAAAGGAGAGTGACTGGAGGGTTTTTTTTTTTAAATTTTAAATTTTTTTATTTTTAGTTTTCAACATTTACTTCCACAAGATTTTGAGTTCCAGATTTTCACCCCATCTCGCCCCTCCTCCCACCCCAAGATGGCATGCATTCTGAATACCCCTTCCCGTAGTCTGCTTTCCCTGCTATCTCTCCCCGCCCTTCCCCTTCTATTTTCCTGTAGGGCAGGATAGATTTCTGTACCCCATTTCCTGTATTTCTTATTTCCCAGTTGCATGTGAAAACATTTTTTTTGAAACATATGTTTTTTAAACTTTGGGTTCCAAATTTTCTCCCTTCCTCCCTCCCCACCCACCCTTATTGAAAAGGCAAGCAACTCAATATTGGCTATACATGTGCAGTTATGGAAAACATTTCCATAGTAGACATGCTGTGAAAAACTAACTCTATTTCCCTTAATCCTATCCTGCCCCCCGCATTTATTCTATTCTTTCTTTTGACCCTGTCCCTCCTCAGAAGCATTTGCTTCTGATTTCCCCCTTTCCCAATCTGCCCTCTTCTCTATCATCCCCCTACTCTCTTGTCCCCTTCCCCTCCTATTTTCCTATAGGGTAAGACAGATTTCCACACCCAATTGAGTGTGTATGTTATACCCTCCTTAAGTCAAATCCTATGAGAATAAGATTCATTCATTTCCTCTCACCTTCCCCCGGTTCCCCTCCACTGTAAGAGCCTTTTTTTTTCTGGTTTTTTTTTGTGAGATAATTTACCCCATTCTACCTTTCCCTTTCTCCTTCTCCTAGTATAATCCTCTCTCATCCCTTAATTTTATTCTTCAGATATGACCCCTTGATCTTCAACTCATCCTGTGCTCTCTATCTATCCATCTATCTATCTATCTATCTATCTATCTATCTATCTATCTATCTATC